CGTCATGAGGCTCCATTGTGGTCCTGTTGGGCCGTCTTGGGGCTCCCGTGGGAACCTCCAGGGCCGTCTTGGAGCGTCGGAAAGCTGGAAAAGCGAGAAAGCAAACAACATCGAAAAAACAAATGAAAATCAACGATTTTGGCGTCGTGAGGCCATCTTGGAACGCCTCTCGGAGCTCTGTTGGGGCCGTTTCAAAGTCTATAGGGCGGTCTGTTTGCCGTCTTGGGCCCATCTTTGGCCACGTTGGGGCCATCTAAACTTTCCTGGGGAAGCTTTTGGCGGCTCCTCGGGGACTTCTGGGAGCGTCCTGGGCCTCTCTGGGGCGGTCTGGCGCCTCCAGGGGCGTCCCGGGAGCGCCCCAAGAGCCCCGGAACCCCAATGCGCACCCGAGGTCGCGGTCCCGGGCGCCCCGGTCTCGTGCACGGGGATATATATATATATATATATTATATATATATTATATATATATAATATATATATTATATATATATATATATACACGCAGCCCCCCCCCAGCACCCATTCATTTTGCATCGGTCGTTGAACAGTTTACTCTCTCTCTCTCTCTCTCTCCCTCTCTCTCTGTACCTCTCTCTGGTTCACAGGAGGAGGAGGAGGAGGAGGAGGAGGAGGAGGAGGAGGAGTAAGTCGCCACTTCCTCTCGAATAAGGAAGATCTGGGCGACCACGGCGGCCCCCAACGGGCCTTGGATTTCGTCGGGGGCGCGAGGCGCCTGCCGCCGCGGGATGGGAGGCGCCGACCCTGCGCTAGTCCTCTGAGGCTCTCGCGCTGCCCCGCCGCGCCATGGCCCTGGCGAGGCACGTGACGGCGTACACGGCTGCCGCTGTCTGGATGCTCACGACGGGCCTCTACAACCCGCAGAGCTGGCAGCCCTGGCGGGTGGCTTTCGCGCGCGAGGCGCTGCAGAATTTTGACGTGGTGGCACGGCCTGGCACTCAGCAGCGCCAGAGAGACGCGATCCCCGTCACGGCCACTAGCACGATGAGGCACGTGGTTCTCGACGGGAGCTGGCGCAGTGGACGGCTCACTGACAAGAGCTGCGGTATCACGATCATGATTGGTAGGAGCGTCAGCAACCATGTCCGCCAGGTACTCAGCTCGCCGCCGAAGATTGGCATCACTGAGCGGGCGGGAGGTCTCAAGCTGACGATGACGCGGACCCCGATGCTGGGCGGCGGGGTCTACCTCACGCCGTACGGCACCCAGGAGGAGCGTACGAGGGCCATGCAGCGCATCTCACATTGGATCAACGACGAGGAGGCGGAGGCGGGCAACAAGGACCTGGAGGTGATCGCTTGGGACATGCAGCTGGATTTCAATGACATAGACGAGGTGGCTGGACGTCATGGACGGAGGTGGGCGGCTACGTACTACCTTACCGCGGCCAACACGCACTCCCTTCCGCTCGACAGCTACTACGGATCGGAGCAGACCAGCTGGAAAGATCAAGTGATTGTTCCGCCCACGGCCATGGGGGCAGTGCCGAAGATCAGGATGCATCACTACCTGATGCGCACGCTCTTATCATTCCCGACGGCTGAGCTTCGCTATCGGTACCTGACTGAGGCCCACATCATTTACGAGCTGAGTTACTGGCTGCTGCGGGGCGCCATGGCAAGGGCGGATCGGGACTCCCTCATGATCCGCTTGACGAAGGGCGAGCGGAGGCACGAGCTAGGCGAGAAGGTTGAGAACGAGCTGAGCGCCGCTGATGCCGAGAGGAACCGCTCCGACTCCTACCCCACCTGCGAGACCAAATACCATCTCTTCATTAAGGCGATTCGCGACATCAAGATCTCGTTCTTCCCGCCCACGAGGACGCTGGACAACGAGTACGAGTTTTTGGTGGAAGAGAGGGTTCAGGCTCTGCGAGCTGTGGCGCACGTGGCACATGAACTTGCAGAGATGCAGGCTCGACGGGATGACACAGGCCACCACTATCCCGAGCGCGCCGAGAGGGGTGCAGAAGAGCGGCTACGGCGTCTCACATGCGAGTGCAAGGCGCGCTGCGAGGCCCATCAGGGCCACATTTACTACGAGCGGATCGAAGAGCTGAGGGACGAGGCCAACTGCATGCTGGGCGCTGAGGAGTGGAAGCAGGAGATGGCCATGGAAGGAGTTGGGGGCGGCATGCGCGTGCTGACGACCTACTGGGACCAGGAGGGCGGCATGAAGAAGAAGAAGCTCGCGACCGATTGTGGCACGGGTCTCGCCGCCGCCAGCTTCGGCGGGGTCTCCGACGCGATGGTCACCAGGCTGCAGGGGGTGCTGAACACGTTGCAGGGGCAGCGCAGACTGGAGGGGGCAGTCCTCGACTTCTGCCTGGAGCCAGTGAACAGCGGCACGGTGGATGCGGCGGAGACGAGCGGGAAGGAGTACAACGATGCGGTGGAGTCCAAGACGCTCACTCAGCAGGAGCTCGGCAGCCCGCGCGAGCAGATCGAGAAGAAGAAGAGAGTGATCAACAAGCTGGCCAACGCAGACAGGAGCAAAGGGCAGCAGGTCAGGCTGGCGCAGGGCATGCGGTCAATCATGAACACGGCACTGGAGGAGAGCCCAGCGATCAAGGGCGAGCTCTTCAAGGGGCGCATGTCCAAGCGCGCGAGGTTCGACGAGCATGAGCAGATGACGATGGCCATCAGCCCGCAAGTGCAGCTACCGCCCAAATGGCTGGGCAAGCACGGCGAGGGAAAGAAGAAGGCGAACGAGGAGACGTTCAGGGAGAGCGACGTGGAGGGGACGCGGCGTCTGGCCGACATGCCGCTGGCGTCGACTCTCGTCAGGGACGTGCGGACGCTGCTCATTGCCATGCTGGAGGCCGAGGGGGCGGTGCGTGTCGACGGGCAGGTCCAGGCTCGAGCGCGATCTGCAGAAGGATATGGGCCAGAGCATGAAGCCGAGCTGAAGGCCCGTCGGCAGCAGGCGGCCAGTGAGACCGCGATGGTCGCTGCGACTGGCAGCGAGCGTGAAAGTGAACTTCTGAGGGCCCTGGAGAGCAGGGTTAGCCCGACTGGGGTCGCTCCGAAGGAGAGCCCGCAGTCGGACGTGATGCACTGCGGGTCCCCCACACCCCCAGGCTGTTCGGCGGGTTCTGGCCCTGGCGGCTCCGTCTAACAGCCCGAGGGAGGATGGAATCCGCGGTGCATGGATGCAGTCAGCGTTGGTCGCGCGTCGCGGGCCCCCCTGGCTGTATCGGACCCCGTCGCCGCACCTGCGGAGCGGGGCGCCGCCAGGCCCCCGCGGCCGCGCGCCGACCTCGTTCCCGACGTCACAGGGGCACACAATTTTGTTTGAGGTTTTTCGGCCTGGAACTCGGAATTCGGTGTCCAGAGCCTTGAGACCGGTTTTCGTTGCCCCCGATGTGTGTTTAGTTTAGTTTAGGAGGAGGAGGAGGAGGAGGAGGAGGAAGAGGAGGGGGGAGACAGAGACGGAGGGGGACAGAGGAAGAGAGAGAGTGAGAGAGAGAGAGAGAGAGAGAGAGAGAGAGAGAGAGAAATCTCTCTCTTTCCCTCTCACACACTTTCTCTCCGCTTCTAGAAGGAGGAGGGGGAGGAGGAGGAAAAGGAGGAGACAGAGACGGAGGGGGACACAGACAGAGAGAGAGAGAGAGGGGGAGACTCGAGGGAGCGGCGATCCCTGTGAAATCACAATGTTTGCGAAGCCTGGGGGCACCAAACCTTGATATGTCATTTGGATTTTTGGGATTTCTGGGTCAAGAATCCCAGAACCCATGTGATTCCATTAGGATTTTTTGGATTTTTGGGATTTTCAATCCTCCTGTCCTGGGGAGCCCCGTCGTCGTTTGTTTTTTTCTCTCTGGGACTGAAAATCCCAAACATCCCAAACATCCAAATGAAATCACATGGGTTCTGGGATTCTTGACCCAGAAATCCAAAAAATCCCAATGAAATAACAGGGCTTGGTGCCCCCAGGCTTCGCGAACATTGTGATTTCACAGGGATCGTCGCTCCCTCGAGTCCCCCCTCCTCTCTCTTTCTCTCTGCGTGTGTCTCCAGTTCTGGGAGCGGAGGAAAGGATGCGAAAGACAACGTGGAAAGAAAAAAGGCGAAGAATGGGTGCTGGGGGGGGGCTGTCCATATATATATGACCACACCCCCCCCCCAGCACCCATTCATCGCCTTCTTTCTCTTGGCGATGTTCTACACTCCTCTTCCTTTCCTTTCCCTTCCTTCTTTCACTCCCCTTCCTTTCCCTCCCCTTCCTCGCTTACATCTTCCCCTGGCGTCAGCGGGGGCGTTTTTTCGACTCCACTCGCGCGCGCTCTGGCCGCAAGGCTGGCCAACGCCTGACGGCAGCGCACTGTAGAACATGCGCGCGGCGCCTTCCCCCGAACGAGGGAACCCTGAGCTCGTGGCGAGCATTCTGCACACACAGTGGGCCCAAGAGGCACCGAACCAAGTGATTTCACAGGGATGCTTGGGATTTCTGGGATGTTAATCCCACAAACCCTATGATTTCACAGGGATGCCTGGGATTCCTGGGATCTCCTACCTCCGACAATAATCTACCCAGGGCCCCCCCCCCCCTCCCAAGGCCGCGAATCCCAAGCATCCCTGTGAATTCGCAGGGATGCTTGGGATTCGGAATCCTGGGGAGCTTCAGGGTGGAATTGTGTCGGAGGGTGGAGAATCCCAGGAATCCCAAGCATCCCTGTGAAATGACACGGTTTCTGGGTTTCTCATCCCAGAAATCCCAAGCATCCCAATGAAATCACACGGTTCGGTGCCTCTTGGGCCCCGGAGGAGGCGGACGGGAAGGGCGAGGCAGACGAAGAGGAGGAGGAGGGGGAGGAGGAGGCGGAGGAGGGGGAGGAGGGGGAGAAGGCTGAGGAAAACTAAGAGAAGGAATCGGGGCACGCTGCAGCATGCCGCGCAGGGAAAAGCATGCGCACTACACACAGTGACGCGGAAACGAACCGTGTGATTTCATTGGGATGCTTGGGATTTCTGGGATGAGAAACCCAGAAACCGTGTCATTTCACATGGGTGCTTGGGATTCCTGGGATTCTCCACCCTCCGACACAATTCCACCTTGAAGCTCCCCAGGATTCCGAATCCCAAGCATCCCTGTGAATTCACAGGGATGCTTGGGATTCGCGGCCTTGGGGAGGGGGGGGGGGGGGGGCCCTGGGTAGATTAATTGTTGGACGGTAGGAAATCCCAGGAATCCCAGGCATCCCTGTGAAATCATACGGTTTGTGGGATTAACATCCCAGAAATCCCAAGCATCCTTGTGAAATCGCAGGGTTCGGTGCCTCTCGGGCCCACTGTGTGTGCAGAATGCTCGCCACGAGCTCAGGGTTCCCTCGTTCGGGGGAAGGCGCCGTGTGCATGTTCTACAGTGCGCTGCCGTCAGGCGTTGGCCAGCCTTGCGGCCAGAGCGCGCGCGAGTGGAGTCGAAAAAACGCCCCCGCTGACGCCAGGGGAAGATGCAAGCGAGGAAGGGGAGGGAAAGGAAGGGGAGTGAATCAAGGAAGGGAAAGGAAAGGAAGAGGAGTGTAGAACATCGCCAAGAGAAAAAAGGCGATAATGGGTGCTGGGGGGGGGGGGGGCTTTCCATTATATATATAATTATATATATATATCTATATATATATAGTATTATATATATTCCACCGCCCGCTGGGGCACCAGGGCGTCAGTTCCCGGGCGGTGGATATGGACAAATCCCCGACTCGCAGTTGTGCCGGCTCCAGGTGCAGGGGCTCAGGCGCTGATCATTTCCGCCCGATTGGCAAGCTTGCCAAAGAGGACGAGCCCTCCCCCCCCCCACACACCCCCCACGTACCCGTCGGTCGTTGAAAGTAGGCAATTCTGGGTTCCCAGAACCCGATCTACTTCAAGCGCCTTCCTACTTCAATAATCGATATGGTTTGGCTGTTGTTTGTTATTCTTTGGGCGGGCCCGAACCCAATCTACTTTATCCGCCTTCCTACTTCATGTTTGTACCTACTTCTTCCGACCAGCTTGTGCGGTGCTCGAATGATTGAGGGCTTTGGAGCGAGGACGTGCCCCAGGCCACACCGAGCTGGCGAGGGAGACCGACGTCCTGAGGTGGTCGTGGAGGGAGCGCGAAGCGCAGAGGCTAAGCCAATCTCCTCGCCTGCCTCGCCTGCCTTGGAAGGCTGGGTGGATGGAGAGCTCAGCGGAATTCTGAGTCCCACGCGATAGGCTAGTCGACCCAGAACAAGAAATGGCCCGTCACCGTCCCTTCCTGCTCCCCTTCCTCCTGCTCCCCTCCTCCTTTCCCTCCTCCTCCTCCTCCTCCTCCTCCTCCTCCTTCCTCTTTTTCCTTCTACTCCTTCAACTCCTTATGGTCCTTCTCTTCCCCCTCGTCCTCCTCCGTCAACATCTTTCCTCCTCCGTCCTCCCCGGCCCCCATTCCTCCTCCTCCTCCTCCTTCTCCTCCTCCTCCTCCTCCTCTCATCATCATCACCATCATCATCATCATGCTCATCATCATCATCATCATCACCATCATCATCATCATCATCATCATCATCATCATCATCATCATCATCATCGTCTCCATCTCTATCTCCATCTCCTCCTCCTCCTCCTCCTCCTACTCATCTACTCCATCTCCTCATCCTCCTCCTCCTTCTCCTCCCCTCTTCCATCTGCTCATTATTATCCTCCTTCTCCTCCTCCTTCTCCTCCTCCGCTTCCCCTTCTCCTCCTCCTCCTCCTCCTCCTCCCTCCTCCTCCGCCTCCTCCTCCTCCTACCTCCTCCTCCTATGTCAGGGCGTGCGCACGCCCTGTCCCCTTTTCCTTCTCTGTCAGCGCGCGCGCGGGCCCGCTCTTCCCCTGGCCCTTTCACCCCCCCACCCCCCCTCATACACATACACGCCCTCCCCCGCGCGGCCCTCCCGGCGGCACGCCCAGACGACGGCGGGGGCGGCGTCGATGGCGGCGACCGACCACGGCGGCGGCGGCAACGATGGCAGCAGGCGCCGCCCTGCCGCGCCCCCCTCCGGGCTCTGTCGCCAGAGCGGGCGCGAGGGGGCAGCCGCTGCCGTGCTGAGGCCCGTGCAGGGCCCTGTGCAGGAGGGCGGGTCGGCCCAGCCATGTACGCGCCCAGGCGGGTTGGGGGCGTTGGGCGTTGGAAGGGGGGTGGAGGAGGAGGATAGGAGGAGGAGGTAGAGGAGGAGGAGGAGGAGGAGGAGGAGGAGGAGGAGGAGGAGGAGGACGAGGAGGAGGGGTGAGGAGGAGGGAGAGGAGGAGGATGTAGGAGGAGGATGAGGAGCCCCTCCTCCCCTCCTCCTCCTCCTCCTCCTCCTCCTCCTCCTCCTCCTCCTCCTTCCTGCCTCCTTGGCGTTTGGGGGGGGGGGCAGCGGGGGCGGCGAAGAGGTTTGCCGCCGTCCACGGTCTCCCCAGGCCCGCCCAGGGCTTCAGGACGGCCCCGCGGCGCCGCGCGAGGCCCCGCGCGGGGGGGGGCAGCTGCCGAACTCGCGTCGGCGCCGAGGTGGGCGGAGCGCCAACACTTACCAGCCTCGAACGGATCCCTATCCCTAAGATTGACACGCCAAAAGGCGGTGACAATCTTATGGATTCGCCCTCAAAAAGTAAGGGACTCCCTAAGATTGGCATCGTGATGAGGAGGTGCCCAGCATAGGGATAGGGATCTGTTCTAGGCTGGTAAAACACTGCGTCCGAAGTCTGCCTTCGGTCTCGGCCGCCAACGTCCCGCGTCGAGCCCCGATCGCCACTCGTCGTATAAGGTTTGTCGCCGGTCGTCGGGGGGGGGAGGTTTCCGCCATTCGTCGGAAGGTTTTTCTCGTTAGTTTCGGCCCCTCGGTGCCCTTGTCGGCCTCGGTCTCGTACCGTCGAACATCGATGTGGGCGAAAGATCTGGCCAGGGTGGACCGCTGAAGGGGTCCAGGGACCGATCTCGAGCGGATTCTGGTCGGGAGGGGGGTTGTAGGCGGGGCGCGGGGGTGACTGCGCTGGCTTCGTCGTCGAGGTTGTCGTTTCGCGGAGCCTCTGCACGATATATCGTTGCCACAGCTCGACGCAGCCTCGGGAAGCAGGCCAGGACGAACCTTGGGAGGGCCCTGAATATTATCGTTTAACCGATCCCCATCCCCATCCCCATCCCCTTCGAGACCCCCACCAAATTACCTCACCAGTTGGGGATACACCCTTCAAAACCCGAAGGGAACGACCTATATCCCCATCTAGGGGGGTAAATCGGCCAGTGGGGCCCAGGCCACGCCGCTGGGGATGGGGATCGGTTAAACGATACTCACTGAAGGCTGAGTTCGAGCGGATTTGGATGGGGGGCGTGGGTGTTCCAGTCTTCGAGGGTTCTGCCTTGAGGCAGCGCTCCTTGGACTCCTTTGGGAATCGGCGGGGAGGGCCTCCCCAGGGCAGAGGCTCGAGAAGAAGAGTGTACCGTCTTGCGCCCCGTCTCCCAAAGGAGATTGGATTCGGACTTTGGCGCGCGCGTCAGATTCCGTCTGATCACGGACTGCTTGCAGTCAAGCCCGTCCCCACCAACAACCTCCTTTTGCAGCTCCTCCTCCTCCTTCTCCTCCTCCTCCTTCCTCCCTCCTGCCGAGGTTCCCTCTTCCCACCGGTGTCATTGTTCCGAGTGGTTTAGCTTAAGATGTTCATGCCAACGTCTACCAAGATTTAACGCACGCCAGTGTCAGCCGCAGAGCCCTTGTCAAGCATGCCGAGGCCAGGCTTCAGCAGCTGGTCTTGCGTGGCCATCGGCTGGGGGCCCTGACTGGGAGGAGTCAGGTGTCAGACAATTCTGTTTGGCACCGTGGCCCGTGCTACTCTGCCCAGTCTTCATACCCTCACTGTGGGCTGCGCTCTGTCGCTGTGCGCGGAGCGGTTTGGCCAATCCCCGGTGTGCAGGGAAGTCTTTGCGACGAGCTGCGACACCGCCTGTGATACTCAGACCCTCTTTCGGACCTCGCCCTCCACATCCTCTGCTCCCAGTCCCTCCTTCGTCGCCCCATCCGTCCCCTGCGCGCGGGGAGTGCGCCAGGGCGGGAGCGAGGGGGGCGGTGAAGTGGGGCGGAGGCGAGGAGAGGGGGAGGAGGGAGGGCCAGGGGGGGGGGGGCAGGGGAGGGAGGCGGAGGAGGACGGGGAGGAGAGCCAGAGCAGACCGAGGATGCGTCGGAGATGCTGCGGCACACGCTCCCGTCATAAGCACCCTCTTCAAAAGTCTCCACGAGTGCTGCTTTTCGATCTGGGGAGCTCCCCCGTGAACAACGAGCGCCCCAGGCCGTGCCATGCAGGCGGTGAATCAAGCTTGCCAAGGAGCCGCCCTGCACCGTTCTTGAACTTGCTGAGCACGTGCAGATGTAGGACTACGAATTTGATCGAAGCCTCTAGCGAAGACATGTCTCGAAGTTGAGTATACTCCATCGGCGCAGTTCGCGAACATGCATAAGGTTCGGGTCGGACTATCGAAGGACCTCCCAGTTGGACAGCCCGACTTTGAATATGGGACGCCGAGTTTCCATCAGTGTCCGCCGTGTTTCCATCAGTCTAGTTGACTCAAGCTGTTCAGCCGCATCTGAGCGGCCTTACGGCGAGAGCCCACATGGTGACATCGGCCCGCCATCCAACCGTGCAGCGGCGGCACATTGGAAGACGGATGTGCGCGGAGCTAAGGCGAGGGCCACACATTGAAAACCATGTGCCACCCCCATCTGTGTAACACATCGAAGCTTCGATCTTATGGGTCCCACACTGCGAATAGGGATACGGTGCAACGATTGGCCCGCCCTTCCGTCACGTCCAACAGTGCGGCAAGGATAGGCTATTTGTATTTCTATGTACTATGAAGAGGGATGGGGGATGAGCGAGGGAGAGGGATTGGCGAGGGAGAGGGTCTGAGGAAAAAGGGAAGGTCGAAAAGCAGGAACGGTTCGGCGATGAGAAGCAACGAGGAGATATGAGGCCAAGGAGGAGGGATTGAGGGGATGAGAAGGGGGAGAAGGAACGAGGAGCAAGGAAGGAATGGGGAGGAACGAGGAGCAAGCAGGGAATGGGGGATGACGAAGACGTCGAGGAGCAGGGAGGAGGGAGAAGGGAGACGGCGAGGATGAGGAGGACGATGAGGAGGGAGGAGGATGAGCAGGACGAGGAGAACTAGGAGGAGGAGACGAAGAGGAGGAAGAGGAGGAAGAGGAGGAGGAGAAGGAGTGGAAAGGATGACGAGGAGGGAGGCAGTCTGAGGACGAGGAGGAGATGGAGGGCTCTCCCCTTCCTCGTCCTCGAGATCGGCGAGACACTCGCTCCGACGTTCAGCCGCAGCAGCGCCCTCTCGCTTCCTCCTCCTCCTCCTCCTCCTCCTTCCTCGTCGTCCTCCTCCTCCTCCTCCTCCTCCTCCTCCTCCGTCCTCCAAGGCGGGGGGCCAGGACTGGGAGATCACGGGCCACAGGGTTCATCCCGTGCTGCGGCGAGAAGCCGCTGGCCTGCTGGTGTGTTCCACATGCGCTCCGCTGACGGTGCCTCGGTTCCTTGGAGGAGCAGGACGGGTTCGTGTGCCCATTCGAGCGCCTGGACGATCCCGAGCCTCGGTGGGGTCTGGGCATTCGGGGTGGCCGCAGGCTCCTGAGGGAGGTTTCCTTGGCGGCGCGGCGAAGGTTGTGATCTGAGTGAAAGTTTGGGCCATCCCTCGTTTTCCTCTTTCCCCTCTCGTGTCGTCTTCGCCACTGGCGAAATAGGAGCAGATGTGCGAAGGAAGAGTTGCGTCAGCGTCTGGTGTGAGGGACGTTTCGCGCTCCTGCTGAAGTGCTCCTCAGCCAGGCGTCTACACGCAACGGTGCGCGTGCAGCGGGATGGCTGCAGTGAGCTCGCCGAGGGCAGCCAACAGACCACCCCTGCCCTCGCCTCGACTTGATTCTTCTCCGCACCCACCCTCCCCTCCTCCCTCCTCCCCTCCTCCCTCCTCCCTTCCCTCCTCCCCCCTCCCCATCCTCCCCTCCTCCCTCCTCCCTCCTCCCTCCTGCCCCCTCCCCATCCTACCCCCTCCCTCCTCCCTCCTCCCCTCCCCGCCCCCCGCGCCGATCCCCAGCGGCGTCGGACCGCGGCGATCCCCAGCGAGCCGACGGCACCGACGGCACCCGCGCGCGCGACGAGCGCCGCGGGGGGCCCCCCGGGGGCGCGGCCTCCGCCGAGCTCTCCGGCGCGCTGGCCGCCGTCGGGGGCGCGGCCCCCGCCGGCCTGCCGGGGGCCTCCTGGGGCCAGCGTGCTGCCACGGCCTCGTGCGTCGGGGGCTCCTCCTCCTCCTCCTCCCTCCTCCTCCTCCCCTCATCCCCCCCCCTCCTCCTCCTCCTCCTCCTTCTCCTCCTCGTCCCCCTCCTCCTCCTCCTCCTCCTCCTCCTCCTCCTCCCCTCCTCCTCCTCGTCTCCCTCCTCCTCCTCCTCCTCCTCCTCCTCCTCCTCCTCCTCCTCCTCCTCCTGGCCGCGAGGAAGTCGGGCGTGCCCCTCTGCCAGAGGAAGGTTCCAGACCAGTCAGAAAATAGTATGGGAACAATGTGTGTTCCTATGTTTTGAGCGCTTCTGCCTATTTTTTTGGGGGGGGTCTTGTATTCTTCGTCCAGAAGCCGCCTGCAGGGGGACACGCCCGACCTAAGGCCAAGAGAGGGATGGTGACTCGGGGCGGGAGGGGGGGATCATGGCCGGGGCCACAATGGCGCCACAGTCCTCTTGCAGCACGTCCCCTGGTCTTATGATGTTCCAACCTACTTTAGCCCTGATCACCAGAAATAATTTCGAGCACCAAAAAAAGCACCGCAATTCTAGGGTTTTCACTTGCCGGGCCCTGGGAGACACTTGCCCGACTCTGTTTCGACACTCCTTTGACACTTTTCCGGGTGCTCGAAATTATTTCTGGGATGTGGTCCTTGAGTAGGGTGGGAGCAACATAACCCTGGTCCACCCGTCCTCCACACCAGTCCTCCGCGCACGCTCCCCCCCCCCACCCCAGATACGCCCACGCCGGCTGCGGCGCCGTGTCGCCGCGCCGCCGGCTCTCGGTGGCCCAGCCCGTTGCCGGGGCACCCATCGTGGCAGCGGCAGGCGCGGCCGCGTCGTCGTCGCTGCCGCCGCTGTCGTCGTCGTTAGGGGACCACGATTTCTGGGGAAGAGGGTGGGGTTCACTTCGTTCGGGAGCTCCCGAGCGAAGTGAGCCCCGCCCTCCCCCTCAGAAATCGTGAGGGGTAGGGGTAGGGTTCGCACGTGGCCCCCTAGTCGTCGTCGCCGCCGCCGTGGCCGCCGCCGTCACAGTCGCCGTCGTCGCCGTCGTCGCCGTCGGCGTCGGTCGCCGCCGCCGCCGTGGCCGACGCGGCCGTCGTCCACTCGTTTCCCCAATTGCGAGCAAGGGTGCAAGGAAAGGTTCTGAGAGTGCCGCCGGACCGCGGAGTTGAGCACTTCCGCTAGAACCAACAGAACGCTCAGTAACACAGGGTGTGAAGCATGATGCACGTCGTCGTCG